GGGGGGGGGTTAAGTCATCAGTATTCAAAAATGAACTACTAAATGTCCATGTCTTCACCATTATACATATCTCACTAATTTATATGGAACACAATTGAGTAGAAAACATAGGAGAAAATGATATCTGCGAGGATAGACATGTCTACTGCATTTTTATGTACCAGAAAACTTCCAGCGCAGGTGTCATAAAAGGGATTATGAATCCAAACTACCTAAATTTTTCACTTTTGGAGTAATCTGCTTGTGCTCTGACGCAATTGATTTGCCATCTTTTCAAACACAATGTTGTTTTAGCCTTCCAAACAAGAATGCCCAATGAATTAACAAAGGAGACATGCTACACATGTATTGTATTTTTGATACAGGGGTTAAGTTATGTTTTTGTTTTGATTACATTTGGTTTTGTTCCCTCTTGGCCTTTTTGTCTTCACCTGTTCTCATCATCCGGGTCCCTTGTGTTAACCAGTCAGCTCCCTCAACCCTTCGTGCCCTGTCCAGGTGTTTCTCATGGTCTCGTCACCTTGTTTGTATTTAGTTCAGTCTTTGTTGGATCATTGTGTGTGTCTGTGTGCTCCTGACATGTTTTGTTTCTGTCATAGGTTTTTGTTACTTTGGTTTCCTGTGGTTTTCAGGACTTTGTTAGTATACTTCAGTTAGGTTTTGTTTGTTTGTTTGTTTGTTTTTTTGTTTTTGTTTTTTTTTTGCAGTGGACTCCTGTTTGTATTTTTGTTACATACATTTTGCTCAGTCCATCCTATTCCTCCTGCCTCCCTGCCTTTTGGAGTCTCCACCCACCATCATGAACAACTTGACAGGTTATCACAAACACAATCACTACTACATTGTCACAACATTACAGAAGATTCAATAAGACCTGAATCGGTAAGAAATAGGTAAACCATTTGTCACTTATTGATGTATGCTTTTTTTTTTTAATCAAGCAATGTGCTTAAGTGATACACTGGATCCATGGCTTGATGACATAGAAAGGAAATAGTATAGTATGTGGCTACTCTATTACATAGGATTGTCCCTCATATTTAAACACTTTGTGGACACTGAACAAGATGAACCATGAACAATAATTTGCGAAAAAGCTACAAAAATACAGAGGCCTCAAACAAAGAGACTTTCATGGCCCTGATACTGTGCGAAACCATCCATCGATCCATTTTCGAAACTGCTTGTCCTCTTAGGCTTGTGGTGAGCTCAGCCAAAGTCTATTCCAGCTATCTTTGGGTGAGACGTAAACCCTGAACATAAAGGGCACATAAAGAAAAATAACCATTCACACCTGTGGACAATTTCAAGTCTTCAATGAACATAAGACATGCATCCATTATCTTGAGTCGCTGATCCTGACGAGGGTCGCAGGGCGTGCTGGAGCCTATCCCATGTGTCTTCGCAGAGTAGGCAGGGTAAAACATGAACTGGGTGCCAGCCAATCGCAGGGCACACAGGCAAACAACCGTAAGCGCTCACAATCACTGCTAGGGACAATTTAGAGTGTTCCATCAACCTGCCATGCTTATATTTGGAATGTGGGAGGACACCGGAGTACCTGGAGAAAACCCACTCAGGCACGGGGGGAGAACATGCAGACTCCACACAGGAGGGCCGGAGCCAGAATCGAACCCTGCACTTCTTCACTTTGAGACGGCTGTGCTCGCGAGTCGATCACCTAAGACAAATGTTTTTAAATGTGGAAGGTGCTTCCTTCCACATTTATGCCCAAAAGGCAAGAGCCGAAATTTGAGCCCCAAACCTCAGGACTGTGAGGCAGATATGAACCACTATTTCACTGTGTTACCTCTGTTCTGAATGCACCCACCAAGAATAAACACATAATTACAACACATCTTGCAGGATGTCATGTAGTGTCAAAGATAGTTTGCCTTTATACATATTATCAACCACGACACCAATTTGCTTATGTAAGCCTGATATTAAGAATGCTCATTCATATTTGTTCTCTAGAGTTGACTTTATTAGCCCAGTCACGCAACGCAGAGGGCAGGTCAGGTCATCGCCGACTGCACATACAGATATTCTTCATCCACATACCTGTGTGAACACCAAGCCAGGCTGGCCCACAATCTGGCAGGTCTGCAGAATGGACTGTAGGCCATTGGCAGCAGAGAGCTGGTGAGCAGGTATGACAGTAATGGTTTGAGGAACCGTGTGCACAGTGCCATTAAACTGTTTCCTCCTGGCCTCCTCTACTTCTTCTGGGGTCCAGCTGACACCGTGCTTCAGCCGCTGGGCTGAGAACCACACCTGGACATAGAAGGGCATCCAGTCATTTTGTGGATTAACATTGACCTTTTTAAGGATGATTTTTCTCAGGAAAGAATTCACCAATTGCCTTTTAATAGGGATGTCCCAACCACGCTTTTTTTAATCACCCGAGAAAGAATCCGAGTCTTTGGTTTTAAATATCTGCCGATACCGAGTCCCGATCAAATACTTAGGCAAAGCATTAAGGAAAACAAAGCGAGCATCAGATTTTTCTCAAATTAATATTGCAACAAACGTACTGACGTGTGTGTGTGTATGTGTGTGTGTGTGTGTGTGTGTGTGTATATTATATATATATATATATATATATAAATTTGTATGTAGCCTTTGTATTGTATAATTAAATCAGCTGCTTAAATACAGTATGGCACACTCTATTTCCCTCTAGTGGTTAAACCTAAAATTACCATTCTTAATGCACTGGCTGGTTCCCTCTCGAGGTTAAATTGATATCACTCATTTTGAAAAGTTCCAAATGAAGTCGGGATCTCCCCAGTGGTTAAACCTCATCTTGAAGGGCCAAAATCAAGGACGTTGAACTCAAATGTACAATTGAACACAGTGAGGACATTCATTGGGTAGATGAAATGTGGCACAACATTAGCATTACCACGAACTGGACTTCCATGCAGTAGGCTGCAAAGATGGAAGCTTTATCGTACAAAGAAACACATCCAAGCCAAGCTACATTTAGCAAAGGCACACTTCTCAACGCTTTGAGGCTGTTTTTATTCAGATGGAACGGTGGCCTTAGTCTAGGTGGAGGAATTTATGAACAGTTCCAAATTCCAGTCAATATTAGCACAAAACCTTTGGTCTTTTGCAAAAAAGCACACATTAAGATTAACAAAATAATGAGTTCATCCGAGGAAGATTTTGGAATGGCCCAGGTAGCGGTGACACCTGAATCTGATCGAGCATCTGTGGAATGGGCAGAAGGGGGCTGTGTACAGGACATTCCTTGACAATCTCACAGGTTTGGAGCTTTTTTCTTTTTGGAAAAATATTGCCACATCAAGACGTGCCACACTGATAGACTCCACCATGGGCGTCATTAGGCCTATTTTAGGGAGGCTTCAGCCTCCCTAAAAATGTCTTTAGCCCCCCTATATAATTTCATTGCATTATTTAAAAAAAAGTATTATTTATTTTTCCTGTACTTTTGCTAATATATTGCATCAAATTCAATGTAATGTGGCCATTTTAAATTACATTTCGATAACCTGCCATTATTGTAATATTAAATCTCCCAGGTTTCCTGAACGCAACAGGTGTTGCGTTAGCATTTGACGTGTCTGTCACTGCTGGACAGGTGAGGCTATCAGATCTCAAGGCTAATTTTACTTGCAAGGCTGTTCCCAAAATGCAATCGGAGCTTAAAGTAAGTATTGAGCAGCAAACTTGTGTTTTTCCAAAGTGATGAAGCTATTGCATCTCATTGTACTAACTTAAATTGCATATCACAGCAGACATCTCAAAATACATAGTCTTCTGGGGGCTAAGCATATATTAATACATTTTGGTAGAGAGGAATATAGGCCTACTGTCATATAGGTTATGTTATCGGGCATCCTTCTAATTCCCTTGAACAACCAAGATTGAACTTTTGAACTCTTTATAATTTCTATTATCTAGTCCAGTTAAAGTCCAGCGGAGGAAGCCCCATCATAGTAAAGAGGATACTAATGTGATGTGTGTAGTTCTTCATAGCCTCTTCATTTTGCTCTCAAAGTGCACGGAATTGATGGATTTTTAACAGAATGTAGAAAAAAATTCTCCCGGGGGGGCATGCCCCCGGACCCCCCTAAAGGGGCTGTGTTCCCCTTGGGGCTAAGCCCCCCTTGTTCTTGAAACCTAGTGACACCCCTGGACTCCACCCTACCCAAAAAGACTGACTGCTGGAATAAAAGATGAAGGTGCTGCAAGAAAGACTAGTTTGAGCATGTGCTTATTTATGCAAACAGATTATTGTACCCTTTCTTTCCCGCCCCCGCAACAGTTTCTATGTGTTTTTCAATTGAGATGTACAGGTCATAGGTCCTATTCAGACCAGTCGCGTCAAATTCAGGTCCAGAAAGTTGAAAACGTGCCACAGTTTGGCTTTAGCCACAAGTGCCTAGACTTAAGCACAGGGAAATGCGCCCGTATCTACCGGTTGAGTCGAAGCACCTGTGGCAAACGCCAAACTGTGGTTAGGTGTTTACTTTCTGGACCTGGTTTTTCTGGTCCCATTTAAGTTTTTTAATTATTTTGCATGGTGACCTTTCTCTCTCTCTCTCTCTCTCTCTCTCTCTCTCTCTCTCTCTCTCTCTCTCTCTCTCTCTCTCTCTCTTTCTAACTCTCTCTCTCTCTCCCCCACACAGAAAAATCTGCTTTGATCAGGGGTGTATATACTTTTTAATATCAGCTGAAAATAAAAATGAATTAGAACCGAATTACATTTGGACTTGCCTGTATACCGTAAAAAACACAAAAACATTTTGCAAATCTGCAATATAGCGGGAGTTCACATTATTCTTATTCTTATTCTTATTCTTATTCTTCTTCTTATTATTATTATTATTATCATCATTATCACCATCATCAGTATTTTAAAAAATGCACTTGTAGGAACATGAGAAGCAATAAACTCGAAGAGTTACTGCCACTGCGAGTCCTCATCCGGTAGTGACATCACCATGTTCTTCCGCTGGTAAGACCGGCAACATGGCAGCCGACATGCAGGTATGTGTGGTTGGCTTCTTTGCAACACGGTAAAAGATTTCACAATGAGTTCTATGTCATTCATCCACCACATTCGTTATAGTTCCAATAATATCATCACAATTTAGAGGAGTGTGTGAACTCTGAAAGAGACACGTGGTCAGAATTTATTTAGCCTTATAGCTAATAGCGAAGTGCTACGTAGCCTGAGAATGCCTTCTATAAACAGCTGCCTTGGGCAATTAATGCCGGCGAGGCAACGTTTTTTTTTTTTAAGATTAAAAAACAAATACAATCTGGAGAGGAAGTTAATGATATCTTTTTGGAGCATTATCTAAATAGATGGACACCAGTGAGCTGATTTTCACTTGTATAGATCACACAAACCACTGCCGAATAGATGATAACGTTAAGCATGCCCTCGTTATTTGTTAGAGCTTGGCATTATTTAGCCCCTCGATGCAAAAATAGGAGTTGTTTTTAATTTTAAACTCCCTCTCTGGCGATTACTACTTGATTTTATAGCGAAGCCTTCAGAATGAACTTCGATTGAATGATTAAATCATCGTGTGACTGATTTTTCAAGTGTACACTACCAACGCGTTATTTGATTTGGTATGCCTAATGTTATTTTTCTTCAAGGTTTCCGAGACTCTGAAGAAATTTGCACTAAAAGTGACTACAGCCAGTGTGAAAGAGCGTAAGGAGATTTTCGGAGAGCTGAGACAATGTTTAAAGGGTAAAGGTAAGTCTGTGGGTGCTTTTTTTTTTGTGTGTGTTTGTAATTTTAGTTTAGATTTAGTTGTGTTAGAAAGAGATCCAGTCACCACTGATGGTTTGTGATTTGGGCTACTGTTTTATTTTAGAGTTACCAGAGCCTGCCATCAAAGGCCTTTGCAAGCTCTTCTGCCTCACTCCTCACAGATATAGGTACGTGTGTGTGTGTTAATGTGCGGTCTTATGAAAGACACGCACATTGAATTCTTAGTTTTTACTGTTTTTCTTCTTTTCTGTATTTGTCAGGGATGCTGCATCCCGCAGAGAGATCCTCTCCGCCATTGCTCAGCTGGCTGAACGCCAGCCTGACATTCTGGTTATGAGCCTCCTCCACTGCCTTCTCAACAGTGGAGTTGTCAGTAAAAATGGAGAGCCAGGGTATGTATGTCATATAACTGATTTTGATTGATTGTGATCGGTAGATGAGGCCTCATGAAGCATTGTGGCACATTGAGCAAACTGTATTGATACTGTGTCAGAAGACTCGGCACTGTGTCATTCTGTTACTCAATAGCTCACATGCTGGATCTTACGTCATTGGATTGTAGGCAACCTATATGCATAATGAACTCCTGTCCAAGTTTATTTTGACTCTTGAAAATGAATGACAAAAAGTCTTCCAATCGTTATCCATTATTTTTTATTACATAATACAATGTTACATCGATTTAAGATAAGATAACCCTCATTTGTCCCACACGAGGGAAATTTGCAGTCTACAGCAGCAAAATTGGGGGGGAGAAAAAAACAAAGTGTTTCATTGCACAAAATAAATGTTTCAGAAAAGAACTGTACACAGTTCAATCTAAGTACAATATAAAATATAGCATTAGCAATATATTTGTAGAATAAATATAATAAATTAGCAATAGCATAGAAAACACAGCATAAGGTGGCTGTGCTATTTACAATGGTTACAGGTTTTCACGTATGTTTATTCAGCAGCCTGACAGCAGTCGGTAGGAATGAGTGGCGGTATCTCTCCTTCTTGCAGCGCGGGTGTAACAGTCTCTGGCTGAAGGAGAAGGATTTACAAGTAACCCCATCACACGGACTCGAAGGGAAGACTTTAGCTTCAAAAGATGCCGAATTCATTTGGCAGAGCTGCAATCCATTGACAGATGTGCTTCCTTATAAAGTTTGGTGCCTTAGTAACAAGTAGCTATTGAGCGATACAGATGTTATATCAGTCACCTGACTTTTTCTCCAGGCAAGAAAATCTGATGTTAACAAGTTTTACCTTGGAGTTTCAATGGCTGAATGATGCCTGGTTTATTTCTTCATACTCATACTTTGATTTTCAGGAAAAGTACAGGCTCTGCTGCCTTCATTGGCTTGTCTTGGACCTGCCTTTTAGTCCCTGCTGTCTTTTCTGCACCAGAGAAAAGACAAGGACCAACCTGGAATAAAATGGTAAATACCTAAAGTTTTATATTTGTCATTTATATACAGTTTAATTGTTTGTCATTTATCGCGGGGGATATATTTTAGATCCACTCACGATCTAAATCGATCTGTGATTTTAAAAGGTTTACCCTTCCAACACACTTGAAACACATTTAAATACTTATTAAAACACAATTCGACATAATACAAACACACTTTTCAAATTTTTCTTTTGTGAAAGATAAACCACAATATCGCGGCAGTTGACTGAAATGTATTTCTGTGAATGGATTTGCATTGTCACATTAACGGGCAAATGTAACGTCACTTGAGTTGACG